AGAACATTCTACCTGCTCTGCACAGAGGAGCCCTTGGTCAGAACGCAGCGAGGCCTTTAACCAGCGCCTCAGTCTCGGTGGCATTGCTGAGGCCTCGCGTGAACAGCTCAGGTCCCCAGAAACCTGAGGCTGGGATTCCTGTCCTCCTGACTTAGGGGGCGTGTCCTGGGAGAACCCGTAAAAGGGTGGGGAAAAGGTCAGGGGAGGGGGTGCGTGGTCAGACGAGGTCTGCCCACCTCCCCGGGGTGTCCAACATCTCTGGTTAACCACAGCGACCCCCAGCGACCCCGGCTGGTGTTTCCTGTCACCTCTTGGTGTGCATGTTGAGCCAAGGTAAAGTGAGGTGCGGGTCGGTGGGAGGGGTCCCTTGAGGTTTCTTGGCCCAGTTGAGGTGGCTCCATCTCTCTGGAAACACTACTTTCATTTCCCTCTCGGGGCACATATTAGAACAATTTCCTGTTAATCCACTGGGAGTTTGGCTTGGTTTTTAGGTACTGAAGATTGAACCCAGGGATGTGTTCCCACTGAGCTATAAACCCAGCCCTTTTTATTCTTTTCTTTTGAGACAGAGTCTCGCTAAGTTGCCGAAGCTGGTCTGGAACTCACGAGCCTCCTGCCTCAGCCTCCCCAGCCGCTGGGATGACAGGCCCGAGTGGCTGAACCTGGCCTCCCCACCCCCACTCTTTAAGAGGGGCCAGGAGACACCTGCCTTGGGTGGGAGGCGTGGAGAAGGCCTCGTCTTCCTAGGCCAGTGGAAGGGGGAGGCAGGCTGGGCAGCTCTCCTCTGTGCCCAGAAGGCGGAGGAAGAGCAGGAAGCAGGAGAGGTGATGGGTAGATAAAGAATAGATACACCCACGATAGACAGTGTCTAGACGGCTCAGGACAGAGAGAGGTGGACGGAGACCGAGGAGGAGGGACGGCAGGGGTAGATGAGAAGGAGAAGGACAGAGCACTTGTAGTAGGATGTTAAGTAGTAAATGTAAAAGGAATGACAGAAACCTGAAACCACCCAGCGTGGTCATAGTTGATTTAGGCAGAAGCAGCCGTGAGAGACTCTGTGGGGAACACTGGATATTGGCTTGACCTCCAAATATTTCCCCCAACGTACTTATTAGTGCCAAATGGGGGGAAAATGACTACGTAGGGTGGAGAAATCTGTCAGACCCCAACTTGGTGTCTGGATGAAAATCAAGGTCCCCCGTAATGGGGAGGGCTGACGTCACATGCCCCTCACATGATGTGCCAGGAAGACCCAGCCTTGTGTCTGTCGTTGCTGCCAAGAAAACACAGCTAGGCCTCGATGGAGCGAGGACAAGGGCGTCCTACTGAACAGAAGGCCAAAGTCCTCAAGATCACGAGGGCTAGAGGCCTGATCTGGATTGAAGTTACCCATAACCCCATACCCCGTTTCCCCCAGGCCTACTGGGCTGCAGGAAGGACCGAGCAGATGTGCTTAGGAAATCTGAGCATCACTTAGGGAGTTAGTGACTGATGCACCTTCAGCCTGGAGACACACGCCTGTAATCCCAGCCTCTTGGGAGGCTGAGGCAGGAGGATCGCGAGTTCCAAGCCAATCTCAGCAATTTACTGAGGACCTAAGCAGCTTAGCAAGAACCTGTCTCTAAATAAAATATAAAAAGGCCTGGGGATGTGGCTCAGTGGTCGAG